AGCAGTACAGTGAGAAGGGTAGCAGCCCAATGCTGAAGATGCACAAGCCGGCTAATTAGAGTTGGGGCTAGTTGAGTGAGAGCCGGGTCTGTGCATACGCGTGTTGCCTCTGCCAAACAGCGTGCCTTGTGCTGAGGTCAGTTCTGCAGCTGCTCTACTCAGTGGAGAGCACTGTGCCAGATTATGTGGGTGGCAGGCTGCTCCTTGTGCCCCCTGGGCTGCTGGCCAAGCTGCGTCCAATCCAGCTCAGGCAAGTGGTTCAGGCGTCAGACTGGCTTTTGTTCACAGTTGGGGGGAAAAAGAGAGAGGATTGGCAAAACCTTGTTGCTTTTACCAAGCTCACTTTCATGTACGAAATGTTGCCATGGCAAGATGCCTCTTGGGCTGATATTCCTCTGTCTGTCCTGCTCTCCTTCCGTCTCTGAATCCAGCCAACAAGCTTGATATCATTATCTACAAAGAGGGGCCAAGTGGGGAGCACAACATCAAGTTTGGAAAATCAAAGGCAAATCTCCCAGCAACTGAGCTGGCGGAGACTCAACTGATTCTGAGTTACTGCGCGGGAGTCCAGTTGCTTGTATTTGTTAGCTGTCAAGACTAAAAAGCACCGTGTTCAGTTCAATGCCAGTTTGGGCTCTGTTGTAATCTGCTGCTTGTCACGTTTCAGATGCTGCTTCTTGATGAGGATACAAGCTCTTTGTGCTTCTGTCGGGAATAACCCTGATGTTTACTTTTGGAGGGCAACCAATTTAAATGGCTGCCTCCAGAGCGGGGAATGAGGGTTACCTAGCATAAGTTTATATGTTTGGCCAAGATGATGCTTTTTGGTCTCAGCCCAGTTTCCAAGAGACAAAGGGGAAGGGAGTCAGCTTCAAAGATATCACAGTACCTGGCAAAAAAACCTACATTGCAGGTAATGTTCGTGCCAGGTCAGGAACATGACATTTTAGAAGGGCTGATGTAGGGTGGAAGCTTTGTGGGGTCACAAGCTAACCCTTTGCTGTGGATCTGCAGAGAGTGTCAGTCTAGTACAGAGGTCAGCAACATTTTGGGAGCAGCAGGCCAAAATTACCCAGCTTGGTCCAAGCTGGGCTGGCCCTTCCTGTCCAGCTGCCTATCTCCCTGGTGCCTGGCTGCCATTGAGGCAAAACTCCCTGATGCTGAAATGCAGCAGAAGTCCTGGCTTCACAGGCTGGATCTAATGGCTCTGCAGGCTGTTGGCTGCCAACCACTAATCAGGAGGGTTTTCAGTCCAGCAGCACCAAAGAAAGAAATAGAAAATATAGCTATGGACTCAAAGCTACAAAGCCCTTGTAGCGCGCCCAAACTGGGTTAAAGAATCATTGCAGTTACAGCTGGGAAAAGTCTGTGGCATCATCTTCCTTCACCGGTGCAGTGACTGGTGGCAATGACACTGGGATTCCTTGAAAAGTTTGCAGAATTCATTTCTCTAAGAGGATCATTAGTTTCCATGGTGTGGACCAGGTACTGACGCTTGGCGTGCCATGAATGCTGATCTATTGCCAAGCGGTGCAGTGTGTTTACAAGGAACACTGCATTTCTCTGTCCCTGGTGCTTGATGATACCACCATGGGTCAGCGAACTTGGGTGACACCAAGCAATTCAGTGAACTCCAGTCTTCAGCAAATGTCAAGTGCGGTCTGCAGATTTTCAATGAAAGCAGCAATTTCAGAACCGGGGGTCACGACTCTGTAGGGGGACATAACATTTATGAGTGGAATTGCAAGTCCAAGAGAAATTCAGCTGCAGGAGCAAGGCAGCAACTGGAAGAAGGTCTGCAAGCCTAGAAGTGGGGTCAGAAAGGGAAAAGTTTGGGAACTGCTGAGTTAAAGTTAGCAGCTTGCTGCTGTGAGCCTGAGCATAGCTCAGTTTGCCTGCTACAGCTGCCACTGGGAACCAAGGCTTTCTCCTTTACCAACATTTCTGGTAAAAGTGGGGAATTCATTCCAGATTTAATGTGGGACTCCCTTTCTACTGTGTGTTTCAGAAAACAAATCAAAGTGGCACGTGGCTGCCTTGTTATTTTGGCTTTAATGTATTGTTTATCTCCCTGGCTCACTTTCTCAAGAACCTCTTTATAAGATGTCTAGATGTAAAAGTCCCTTCAGCAATAAAAGCACTTATCTGTTTTAGAAGGAACCATAAAGAAGATGCTTTTGCTTTTCCATTTTCTGCATTGTGCATGAAGGAGGCTTTAAGCAGAGATGAAATTATTCTTGCTTTGCAAAAGGTGTGAATAAATACAGATGTGAAACTTGCTTTGGATAATGTCTCTCATATTGATTGCATTCCCTATGCACTTAACTGTCCAAATACAAAATAAAAAAAGTGCAAAGTGAGAAAAAAATTAAGATTCAGAGGGAAAGAAGAAAAGGGTCTGATTTCATCTGAGGTTTGAAATGAGATTCAGAGCTAGTAAGATGGAAAGCTGTGTAAAGGTTGTTCAATATGGCAGAGGCTGGCTCCGGCAGGAGTGGCCCATGGAAACCAGACCGGTGCTAGTGGAGCAGAGGGAATAGATAAGGGTCCCACAATAATCAACAGGGAAGCAACTTTGGTGTGAGCCTTTCAATCTGGTTCAGTATGTCTGGGATTTCCATTACTCTCAAAGACTGTTCTGGCTTCAAGAGCAGCAGTCCCTCTGATTGAGAACAGAAGAGAAGCCTGAGCTGAGGAGCTCTGATGTCTTAGCTCCCCTGCTCCTCTGAAAATCACCCCCTGACCACAATGTGCCTCCTGGTTCTCTTGCTCTCTCCCAAAGTTGGTTATGAGCTCCAAAATTAGACAATGGCTCTTCTATGAACGGTTTGAGTGGGGAAGGTTGAGGTCTCTGGGACTGGCCAGTTGGAGTGGCAAAATTCAATGGCTTTGCAGTTATGATCCTATCAGGATATGTTTCTGTCCAGGACTATGAGTAGTAAAACAAACTAGCTCTTGTGTCCATGTGAGCAGATTGCTGCCATTCACTAGCTAGATCCATTCAGCTGCATCAGCCACATTGTGCTGCTCAGAGTGGAAGGGGAGATGCTCTTAGCTCCAGGGAAGGAAGGGAGGGAAAGCTCCAGTGCTGGTGGAAGCAGTCAGACCTGGTTCTATCCCTGCTCCTGGAAAGCCCCAGTTATTACCCATCATGGTAATAACTGGGGAGATTTGTTATAATAATAATATATTGATGTTCTCTTTATTTTTGGTTTAATGACACTGAAATTCTTCAGCTGTGCAGCGTTTCTTGACCTATCCCCAGGAGAGGAAAAGTGATTGGCTTTAAGAGGGACAGTATGAATGCAGAAGTGCACCTGTGAATGAGCTGAGATGATGCTTACTTGGTTTAGTTTCACTTCGGTACAGAATTTTTTTCATAGATTTTTTTCAAGGCCAGTAAGGAAGCATTTTGATCCCCTTATCTGACCTCTATAGCTCCAGCCTGAGAACCCAACCTATTAATCCCTGCCTCAAGACCTTAGTTCTTGGCTGCATTAGATGGTAACTTTTAGGAAGACATCTACTCGTGATTTAAAACCGAGTGATGGAGAATCCACCACATTGGTTAAATCCCCTCAGTGCTACGTGCTCTTTTTTCTAGACAGAATTTGTTTGGCTTGGGCCGTTGTCTGTTAGACTAAGAGAGCTCTGCATTCAGATGCTAATAGTTACCAAAATGTGTCTTAAACCTTTCTTAGATAAAAGATTTCTTGGATAAACTGAACTTCATTCTCACAGTTTAAGGCAACTTTTTCAGACCTCGACTGATTTTTGGTTCTCCGATTGGATCGGTCTCATGTTGTTGTGCACAATTTTAAATGACTCTTCTGTTCCACTTCTGATGAAGCACCTGCATTTCAGTGACCAGTGAGGTTTGGTAGCATTTTTCAAGCACTCTGAGATCTTTTATGGTGAAAATGTTCTATGTGTGATGTAAGTTATGTTGTTTCCTTGCCCAGTGTTTGATAGGATAAGGAGTCTGTAAACCTCCAGCTCTCTGGCTGCATGCCCAGCAGTAGCAACTGTCTGCAGCTAGTCTTAACTTTACAAATAAGAGGAAAGAAAAACCACAGAAACTAACACCCAGTTAAAATAATTCAAGGGCCAAAGCAAAGCAATGCATTCTTTGGTCTTGGTTGCCTTGTATTTGCTTTGAAAGGCAGACTCCATTGTGAACAGTCCTGAATTTTTAGGACAAGGCAGGGCTGTAGGGAGTGAGGGGGAGAGGTTGACTTAAAGGGGCTGATGAGAACAAGGACTTCTGTACCTCAGCTCACTGAACCTGGTCAGCATGAGACTGGGTGGTTATTCCCAAATGCCATGTTAATTCAAGAGGCTCAATTGTGTCCCACAATCTGGATTTGGAATGGACTTTGCAAAGCCAGACAGTAGCAACCTGGCAGCAAATAACCTTGATTACTGACAGGTTGGCATGGACATCACCGCCAAAGGCCAGCATGTAGTCCAGGGTAACGGATTACATTTTCAAGGAGCTGAACTCTTGGATTGGGAGAAAGCAGAGCTGTAAAGGGAGAACTGACCTAGTTAGAAATGAGGAGTGTTTCTTCTGGCTACAGACTTGTGGTGATCATGCAAAACTGTTGGCTACCAAAGACCTGGAGCCTGCTCTCTAGGCAAGTACAGAGCCCTTTCTAGGGGCCTAGCTGGGGTATCACTCTTCCCCAGACAGATCAGAGACAAGGTCTCAGACAGTGGTTTCATACCGGGGGTCCAGGGCTGTCTGGCACTAGTTGGGTGATGGTGCATAGATTCTCTCCAGCTCTGAAACAATCTGCAGATCTACTGTCAAGAGTAATGATCTGAAATGAAGCTGTGTGGCCCATTAGCCAGGGACACTTCACAGAAGCACTGCTGTGCAGGGTGAGAACAGCCCTCCCCATTGGGCTGCAACAGATCCTGGACCACAAGGAGCCACAAATTGCATGTGGTGTGTAATTACCCAGCAAGTAACTTTTGCTCTTTCCCCTCCCTTTCAGTTCGACCCTGAGAACACTGGATACATCAGCACCGAGAGATTTCGAGGCCTCCTTCAACGGCACGGCTCCGAGCTGGACCCGCACAAGCTGGAGGTTCTCTTGGCTTTGGCAGACAACAATTCTGATGGGAAGATCTGTTATCAGGACTTTGTCAACCTGGTAAGTGATTCGGCAGGGGGAGCACCTTGCAGCCCTAGTCTGGATTTGGTTTGAAATGTTAAAGAGCGAGGGATGTTCCCTTTCTCCCTCATTTTAGGAAAGCAGGTTTTTTTTGCCTGCATCCTTGGCTGGGCTTTTCAGAAGCATTAGCCCAGTATTAGCTTACCTTTGATGTCACTAAAAGAACTCCCTTCGACTTCAGTACAGTCAGGCTGACACCAAGCACTTCTGTAAAGTCCACTCTGCAGCCCTGAAAAAGATAGCCGTTCTCTCCAGTGGCTTAGTTAAGTCAGGCCTCGCACCAGGCATGTGAGGTTCTGATGAAGGGCTTTATTTGCAATTAATTCACATGGAACAGACTCCAGACTTAATGCTACAGATTGTGGTTGCTCTGGTCCTGACCTATTATTGGGGGAGAATTCTCCCTCTTATAATTAAAGACAAGAAGAGTCCATTTTTTGAGGCTGACTTCAGATTGTCCCTCACTGTTGGCAGCAGGGAATTTATACTATAATGGTGGTTCAGATATTGCCTAAACAATGATAATCTGAATCAGCTCCTGAGGACTGTTTGCAGCATAATTTTGGAGCCCCAAAACAGATATTGTGGTTACATTTCCAGTGTAAAGGAGCCTATGACTTGGGATAGATTTTCACAAGAACTTTTCAGAAGAGGCTGAGGCACGTGGCTCTTAATCTCCATCGGTGTTCAGTCAGATTTGTGTGCTCTGAAGTGCCTGAATCACTTTTGAAAGTGAGACTTGGGCTTCTAAGTCACTTAGGCAGTTTTGAAAATGTTGTCTATTATTCCCATCTTGTTTCCTGGCTGCTAGCTACAGCATCTAGCTGCAAACAGGATTTCATGTGGAACACTTGAAATAGTCTCACACTCCACAAACAGCTACTGCTGTTAGCAGAAGGAGAGAAACTGTGATTTTGACAATCTGATTCCCAGCTCTCAACTCTCATCTTTCTTCTTTTTTTTACCTCTGTGTCAGCCAATAGCTGTCCTGGTGAGGTTTTTGCTCAAAGGCATATTTCTGTCTATCTGAGTAACTCTTAGTCTACCTAGGGATTTTACCACTGCATGTAAATACCATGTCTTGTCCTATGTTGACCCAAAATGACCAAACAATGTTAATGCAGTAGGATTTCCAGAGGAGCATGGAGAAAATGAGAGACTGACCCATGTGACTGGCTGATGGTAAAATCAGTTGACCTAGCCTGCCCCATCTCACTGCCGTTCTGGAAGTGCGTTCTGCTTCCTGCTTTGGGAGATGATCCAATGCAGGATGCTGCAGCTGCCCCCCAACATGCATAAACCACCCAGTACCAGGTTGGGTGAAGCTTACTGCTTCATTGCCCACATACAGGGTGGGAGTCCATTGAAGCTATCTGGGCCCTGAGGAAGTCTTCTCCCTTTATCTCCTGGTATGGGTCTCATTTTCTGGACCTGCTCTGAGAGGGAAGCCTCCATCCCCTCTTTTTCTACTGCTTTACTCCATGTGAAGCCAATGGAAGTGTTGCCACTCGCCCCCATGAGAGCAAGGGTGTTCCCTTTATTTCTGTGTGCCATTCCGGCTCCATAACATCTAAATAATGCTTCATCTTCCACCCATGGTCATTAACAGTGCCTGTAAAGGGTCTTTGGAAATTTGTTGGAGGGAACTTAATGTGGTCTGGGTTCCACTGACAGTTATTCACAAATGTTTCTCTTGTCCACCCAGAAGTGCCTCCTGGCACTGTACAATAGCTTGCACATTGTTTTCACGGGTTACAAAGCCGACTCCGTGTCCTACAGGGCTATGTCTCAGTAAATGAGACAGGGTGATCTCTCTCAGGTCTGAGTTGTCATAACCCCCATTCCTAACCTCAGTTAAGGGGTCAGCAGGACAGTGAAATCACCTTGATGAGATCAGATGCTGAAATAGAGCTGTCCGTTATCTTATCAGAGCTGTGCTATCTTATCAGCTCTTTGAGAAGTTTTATGGACATGCTAAAATGCAGCAGCAATAAAAATGTTCACTGTAGCTGTAGGAAGTGATCAGGCATCCCCACTTGCTGCAGCCATGTAGATATCCCAGGATTAATAGCATACATAACAATTACTTAGAGCAGATGAGGTGCCGAAGAGCACACACCAACTGCTGCAGCTTCCTTAGCCTGACGAAGGGTTTTTGAACCCGAAAGCTTGCTCAATAACTATTCTCCAACCATTTGGGTTGGTCTAATAAAAGATATCAAATTCACCCAAGGAACCTTGTCTGCCTATATCCTTAGACCAACACGGCTACAACCTAAACTCCCATGCAGACATTTACAAATGGAGTCCCGCAATGCATCTCTAAGGCTAGTGCTAAGTCTCATTAAACCCATTTTGTGGAGGAAAAAAATGAGGAAAAATGTTAAGTGTCTTGCCACAGGCCAACACAGCAAGCCGGTGTGAAGATCAGGACTGGAACTCGGGGCTCTTCACCTCTCAACCACAGGCTTGTCCACCAGTCCTCTGTAAATAGGGCCAGCAAGAATGCAGATTGCTGTTGGGTATCTAAGGACCCTTTAGGCATGGGCATAGTTACCTACCGGTGAAGGAAGTCATTTACAGATTTCAGAAAGGGACAGCGCTGAGTCATCTTCAACCAACATAATTTCTGCAGAACTAAAAATGTCTTTAGACTTCACTGTGTAAGCCTGATAAAGCCACCATTGATTTCCTATCTCCCATTCCTTCATCTCCCTCATTTGCATTTTTGCTTTCACTAATCAATAGCTGTGCAATTGCTAGAATGCTAAATTATTTGTAATTGGTGCTTCTGTACCCCCTTGCCCTTCAACTCTTCACTGGATGCTATAAATCTAACTTTTCAAGGCTCCTTGCCCTTTCTGCAGTCTCAACTCCAAGCTTTACCTGTTCGGTTTCATGCCACACCTGTTGGTGACCTTGGTAAAAAGTGATGGAGGACTAATAAAATTGTTCTGGAAAAGTCTGGATGAGATTTAGCACAAACCCAGCCTGTGTAGTTTATCTTTAAGTGGTAGGCCTCTAGCTTGTTCCTTTAGAGGAAAGCCCAGCTTAGTGAACAGGACTCGGGAGACCTGGGTTCTAGCCTGGCCTCTGCCTGCTGTGTAGACTTAGGCACAACAATTCTCCACTTTCTGCCTCAGTTTCCCTTTTCCTCCTTCACTCCCTTTGTCCTCTGAGTTTGTAAGCTCTGTAGGGAGCCTATCTTTGCTAAGCAGTTCAGGATGCACGTTAGAAGAATGAGAGCGTGTTTTATTTCCAACCCTTTATCAAGAGAATAGAAAGGGGTTCTTGAGTATTTAAACTGTAGAACAGTTCAGATCCAGAGTGGCCCCTGAGATGTCCTATAATACAAATAGTCCAACTCTGTCCAGAAGGATCCATTGCTCAGTGTCTGGGGGTTGAGTCAGTGGTAGTATTCCTTTTTTAAAGGAAAACTTCTCTGTTGAAGATTCAATGCACAAGTCATATGGAGCTGTGAATGCAGTGAGCTTCTGTCTAAAGCAGGTAGTGACATTCTCCTTCAGGGCTGTTGGAAAACTATGAAAGATAGGGGGAAAGCCTTGGATCGGTTTCATAAGTTTATAAAAACCCAGTAAGTAGAGAGCCTATTTTTATTATCTTAGCAAGAAATACCCAGCATGGCACCTACATAGCATGCTGATTAGGAACATTTTAAATGCCTAAAATAGAAAGTGGTTAATACACAGACAATATGTGCATTGAAGTCTTTGCGGGCAAGTATCCTTGCTTTATGTTAAAGTACCTTGAAGTCTAGATTGGACAACATCCATACATTCTTGAGTATGGAATTACATGTAGCACAGAGGTCCATCATTCTGATAAGCATATACCTCATGTAGGGCGAGAATCAACTATCTTTGCTTTTTGCTCTTGTTATGAGGATCGATTTTCCCATTTCTATGGTGCAGTTAATATGACACGCTGATCTGGTTTCAGAGGTTGTGGTGAAGAATCTGGGGGAGGGAAATGTAGCTCATTACACACATCCACACTGGGGTTTTCCAAATGTAGCTGTTTGTTTTCCTATCAAAATTCAAGAGCAAACACTATAAATGTTAAAACAATATTTATAGGTGACTTTCGTAGCCTCCCAAATATTCCCATGTTTCTTTTACTCTTGGAGTGAATGCAGGTGCCAGGTTAGCACTTGTAACACTCCAGCTATTGGGAAACCCTGATGAGCAGGTAGGTGTTAGAGGCAGTATCTATATACTGCCTCTAACTTTCACATCTAGTAGAGGTGGAAATTCAGAGCATGAGGCAAAAGGCGGGTTTCTGGGTTCCCATGTGCCAGACCAGCTGCTCTGTCTGGAACATTCAAAGCACCGCACAAAATCTCTTAGCAAACTCTGACTGATGGAGCCTGGAAGTCAAATGAAAAGGCTCCCTGAAATACATGAGGCTTGCAAATCAAACAGACTAGGTCCTATTCACAGCCCAACCCTTGCAACTTGGGGAAAGTAATTTTGCCCTGGGCATATCTATTGACACTGAGTTCTTGGGAGTAGGAGCTGTCCTTTGCTCAGCATGTGCAACACCCAGCACAAAGCGACCTTGGTTTGTGTTGGGAATACAGGGGCTGTGATAATAGAAACAACCAATAATGCCATGGCAGGCCTCTGTTTCCTGCGTACACATAGAGAGGTGCCGGCTACCTTTTGCTGTCGCTGCCTGCTATGGCAGGTGTAGTACCTCTCACACGGAGGCCATTATTAACTACCACTAGGGAGGCAGGCAACAGGTCAGCAAACTTCCCCAAAGCAAGAAGTTAGCCCTTGTGTTTCTCTGATGTTCCTATACATCCCTCAAGACTTGTCCACCCAGTTCCCCCCAGCACTCCCCTGGATGCTTTTGTCATTGTCCTGGACACCGAGTCCATTTGTCTACCAGAGAGATCACTGTGAAACAAAGCCATATCATTCCCCTGATGTCCATAGAAGACTATTACTTACCAA